CTCCGCCACCTCCTCCCTTCAATCCTCCTGCCTCTTCCCCCTCCTCCTCCTCCTCCTCCTCCTCCTCCTCCTCCTCCTCCTCCTCCTCCTCCTCCTCCTCCTCCTCCCCTACCTCCTCCTCCTCTCCTCCTCCTCCTCCTTCCTCCTCCTTCTCCTCCTCCCCCTCCTCCTCCTCCTCCTCCTCCTCCTCCTCCTCATAATCATCATCATCTCTCCATCCCTCCATCCCTCCCTCCTCATTCCGTCTCGCCTCCGCATGCCTCCTCCCTTCTCCTTCCCTCCTGCTCATTCCTTCTATCGTGGCATTGCGTCCCACTGCTTCTCATTCTCACCCTCATTCCTACTGCGAAGACCGCGACGACGATGGCGTCGCACCGACGACGACCGACGACGACGACGACGACCGACCGACGATGAGCGGCCGACGACAACGATCGATGACGATCGACGACCACCGACGACGACCGACGACGACGACGGACGACCGACGATTGTTGACGACCGACGACAGCCGCCCGACCGATGACCAAGGACGGGCGACCGACGACCGACGACGACCGACCGACCGACGACCGACGTCCGACGATCGATGCCCGACGGCGGGCCGACCGATGTCCGACGACGGCCTGGGCGAGCCCCTCGGGCGTCCGGTCGGCCCCGCGGTGGCTGGCCGGCGCGTCGCGGCGCGCGGCCGCCCTCGCGGCGGGTTGGCTGGCCTTCGGCGGGTGGTTGCCGCTGGCGGCCGCGGGGGACAGCTGCTGCGCGAAGGCCCCGCTTGGCGAGCTCTCAGGGCGGCGCTCGGTGGAGGGAGACGGGAGGAGGAGGAGGAGGAGGAGGAGGAGGAGGAGGAGGAGGAGGAGGAGGAGGGGTAGTAGAAGGAGGACGGGAGGAGGAGGAGGAGGAGAGGAGAGGAGGACGAGGAGAAGGAGGGAGGAAGGGGAGGCAGGTGAGGCGAGACGGAATGCGGAGGAGGGAGGGAGAAATAGATGATGATGCGATGAATGCTGAGGATGATGATGATGATGATGATGATGATGATGATGAGGTAATGATGATGATGATGCTGAATGATGATGATTGATGCTGATGTTGATGATGCTGCTGATAATGATGATGATGATGAATGATGATGAGATGATGATGAGGATGATGACGATGACGAATGACGAATGAAATGATGTTTGATGATGATGATGATGATGGCTGACTGATGTGATGCTGATGCTGGATGCTGCTGATGATGATGATGCTGCTGATGATGATTATGATGATGATGATGATGATGATGATGATGATGATGATGATGATGATGATGATGATGATGATGATGATGATGATGATTATGAAGATTATGAAGAGGAGGAGGAGGAGGAGGAGGAGGAGGAGGAGGAGGAGGAGGAGGAGGAGGAGGAGACCCCTGGCCCCAGGTACCCCCAGGATTCTCGGGGTGGCCCAGACGGCCTCCAGGGCACCCCTCACGAGGCCCAGAGGGCCCCAGGGGCTCCAAAACGGAACGAAAAGTTGGGGGCAGCTTGGGCCAGGGGCACGTCTAGCAACACCCGACCTGAGTGCCGCCCCCGCAGTTCCCTCTCGCCGCGGCCGTCCTCCCTCCCTCCCTCGCCCCTGCCCTGGTGCAGATCAGTGCTCGGCCTCCCCGCCCAGCTGGCTCTCCGGACTTGCGCGAGCGCCGAGTCCGCGGCACAGCACGTGCTGTCGCACGCTCTGCGATCCAGCACGCCCTGGCCGAGGGCGGGCGTTCGCGCTGCACGTGCAAGTCTTCGGCATCCAAGGCCGAAGGGAGTGCTTGGCCAAAGAGTGAATGCTGGTCCCTCGCAGCGGTCGGCGGATGGCACCTTCGACTCCCCCGAGCACGACGCATGCATATCGCTGGAGGTTGCGCCATCCCCTCGCAGCCTCTTCTTCATGAAGCTCTTAGTATTTGATTATGCGCGGCACATGCTGTTTCGCTGGACAAGCCCAGCTCAGGGGTCTCGGCAACCTTGTAAGGATTCTATGTTTGGGACGCGTCGCGAGTACCTTGATTGAGTATCTTGCGATTCCCTCCGCCAGCGCGGGCTGAGCTTTCTGTGATGTCACTCTTGTGATGACGGTAATCCAGGCAAGCTCGCTCCTTCCCTCTTCCACGTGCTCCTCGGAGGAGGATGCTTCGAGGAGGACGAGGACGAGGACGAGGACGAGTAGGAGGAGGAGGACGAGGAGGAGGAGGAGGATGAGGAGGAGGATGAGGAGGGGAGGACGAGGACGAGGACGAGGACGAGGATGAGATCGACGACGACGACGACGATAACGATAACGATAACGATAACGATGACGACGACGACGACGACGACGACGACGACGACGACGACGACGACGACGACGACGACGACGACGACGACGACGACGACGACGACGACGACGACGGCGACGACGACGACGACGGCAGCGGCGACGGCGACGACGACGACGACGACGAGGCAGAACGCCCCCAGCCAGGCGGCCGCCGCGGTCGGGGGCGCGCCGCCGGTTGAGTGGATGCGGCTCGCCGTGCGCGTGCTTCCGCCGCCCCCTCCCCCCCCCGTGTGGCTCCTCGGAAGAGAGGGGAGGGAGGACGGAGGAGGGAGCACGGAGGCAGGAAGAGGGAGGAGGGACGAGGGGAGGGCAGGAGGGAGGGGGGAGGAGGGGAGAGGGATGAGAGCAAGGAGGAGGAGGACGACGACGAGGAGGAGGAGGAGGAACAGGAGGAACAGGAGGAACAGGAGGAACAGGAGGAACAGGAGGACGAGGGAACAGGAGAACGAGGGAGGAGGACGGAGGAGGGAGGGAAGGAGGGAGGAAGGAGGAGGGATGAAAGCGGAGGAGGAGTGAGGAGGAGGGGGGACGGAGGACGGGGACGAGGAGGAGATGGAAGAGGAGGTGGAGGAGATGGAAGAGGAGGAGGAGGAGGAGGAGGAGGAGGACGACGACGAAGAGGAGGAGGAGGAGGAGAAGGACAGGCAGGAGGAGGAGGAGGAGGACTAGGAAGAGGGAGGACGGAGGACGGGGACGAGCAGAAGAAGGACGATCCTTCCGACCGTCTGGCCGATCTACACGAAGACCTCTCAGTATAGACCAGCGCGTTCCACTACTCGCAAAGTGACTACTCGCAAATGGCCTCGACTCGCCGCGGAGGATCCACGCTACATCTCGTCGAAGCAAGCTTATGTCTTTTTCGGACGTTTGCGAGTAGGCACTCTGCGCGTAGTGCAGCGCGCTCGGTGACAGCACACGAGCTGCAGGCTTCGGACACTCCGACTCGATCTTCGCGGCGCTCCCCGCGCCTTTCGTGCCGAACTCCTGCGCCTCTCGCCCGCCGTCCGGGGAGGCCACCGGGCCAGAGGGGGAGCCAGCTCCCAGGTGCCGGACCATCGCGGCCCTGTCAGCGAGCGTTCGCCAACCGCCGCTGGAATTGCCCATGGCCTCCAGGGCCAAAACGGCCTCCAGGCCAAAACTGCAAAACGCCGTTGTTCAGGATGACCCTCCCACCGAGAGTCCGCAGACTGCCACCGGCGCCAGCCGCGGGGGCCAGCAGGCCCACATTGCAGCCAGCCCCGCCACCGGTTGTGCCTGAGTTCCGTGGCCTAGCAGGCATCTTGGCTTACACGATAACATCGACCCCGGGGAGTCAGAGGAGCTCGTGTATGACAGTGAGATTAGTTCCGATGGGTATGATGCTATTACCAGTGCCGACCTCAACGCCTCTCGTGCAGAACAGTCTGGCGTCCCATCTGCTGGTGTTGTCTCTCCTGCTGCTGTCGCGGGCCCTGCTGGAGCCCTCCCGCCACTCTCCTCTGGGCATGCAGTGTAGGCAGCGGCAGTGATGTTTACGCTGGCGGTCTTCTTTCCTTTCCTGACTTCTTTTGATCATGGTAGTTTACCTCTGGCACATGATGGTACGTTCAACCTGCTGCTGACGGCAGTCTTAGCTGATCCGAGCGACGACTCGTCGTTTGTGGACATGATGGACATGCAGGCGGAGCCGTCGATGCAGGTCGGAGGAGCGCACAAGCTGTTGATGCAGGTCGGAAGAGCGGACACGATGGCCATGCGCGGGACGGTGCGAAGCCGGTGGTTCGGTCAATTACCCCGATGGAGGCTCAGGAGGCCATCGTGGACATCGGTGCAGCCAGCTCGAGCTCCGAGAGTGTCGAGGGCCCCGACGGCTCCGCCGTCGCCGTCGCCGCTGCTGCGGGCGTCGGCTTCTGCGACGACCCCTGCGAGGTGCAGGACGAGAACGGCCTGCCCCCGAGTGGCCCCGCCGCCCGCGGCGCCTGGAGTGGCGGAGGGGGGGCTTCTCGAGGCGCGGTCACCTCCTCCTCCTCCTCCTCCTCCTCCTCCTCCTCCCCTCTCCTCCTCCTCCTCCTCCTCTCCTCCTCCTCCTCCTCCTCCTCCTCCTCCTCCTCCTCCTCCTCCTCCTCCTCCCTCTCCTCCTCCCCCTTCTCCTCCCCCTCCCCCCCCTCCTCATCATCATCCTCATCGTCATCATCATCATCATCATCATCATCATCTCATCATCATCATCATCATCATCATCATCATCAGCAGCATCACCATCATCAGCAGCATCAGCATCAACATCAGGCAGCACTGTCAGCTCCTTTTCGCCACCGTCACCATCAGCATACTCATCATCACTACCACCATCATCACATGTCGTCCGTACCCCTCCCCCTCCTCCCCTCCTCCTCCTCCTCCTCCTCCTTCTCCTCCTCCTCCTCCCCCCGCTCCTCTCCTCCTCCTCCTCCTCTCCTCCTCCTCCTCCTCCTTTCCTCCTCCTCCTGTTCCTCTCCTCCTCCTCCTCCTGCTCCTCCTTATCCTCCTGATCCTCCTCCTGGTCTCCTCCTCCTCCGCCTCCTCCTCCTCCTCCTCCTCCTCCTCCTCCTCCTCCTCCTCCTCCTCCTCTCCTCCTCCTCCTCCTCCTCCTTCTCCTTCTCCTCCTCCTCCTCCTCCTCCTCCTCCTCCTCCTCTTCCTCCCCCTTCCCTTTTGTTCCTGCTTCGCTCCTTCCTGCAGCTGCGGGCCTCGCCCACGCCCACTGCCGCCCGCTCGGGGGCGAGGGCCCGCGGATCCCCGACCCCGACGCGGTGCAGCCGGAGACCTGGGACGAAGAGGACCGGACCCCCGACGACGACGCCGCCGACGACGACGACCACGACGACGACGACGACGACGACGACGACGACGACGACGGCGACGACGACGACGACGGCGAAAGCGACGGCGACGGCGACGGCGACGGCGAAAGCGACGACGATGGCGACGGCGACAGCGACGACGACGTCCACTTCGTCCTCCTCCTCCTCCAGTTCGCTCTCTCCTTCTAGTCCTCCCTCATCCCCTGCTCCTGTTTATCCTCCTCCTCCTCCTCCTCCTCCTCCTCCTTCTCTTCCTTCTCCTCCTTCCCCTCCTCCTCCTCCTTCCTCTTCCTCCTCGTCCTCCTCTTTCCTGCTTCCTCCTCATCTTTCGTCCTCACCCCTCCATCCGTCCATTCGTTTTCCTTGTCAGCAGCTTCTCCCTGGCGCCTGGCGCACCCCTAGACGTGTTGGCAGGGCGGGCCCGGAAGCTGGACAGCAGTTTCACGGATAGAGGGCGGGTCGCTCTCAGAGTGTGACTCTCGCCGTAGATCCGCACATGCCGGTGCAGCCCGATGTGGCGCACAGTTCGAGCCGAGCTGAGATCTCGATTCGATGCCGACTGATCCTGCCCTCCGTTCCTCCCCTTTTGTCCCCTCAGCCCTTTCCCACCACTCCCATCCCCCCCGTCCCATCCGCACCCTCCCACGATCAGCGGAAGGCGGGCTATCACAACCACCCCCTGGAGTATGGAGCAAAGGGGAGTCAGGGGCGGCTGGCTGGGCATCCTGTTCAGTTGCGTTACGCAAGTCAGCCATCCTTCACTGGGTGGTGAGCTTTTTTATTCAAGGGGAACGGAAATGAGATCGGGCCACAAGTGGAAGCATCGACCCCCCGCGCGGTCTCGCCAAATACCCAGGGCGCACCGCGGATCTATCAGCGGTGCGGTGCAGCGCTTGCCACGCTCAAGGAAGACGCAAGGACAGCGTGGGCTCAGGAAGGATTGTGGCTTTAAGGCCGCTCTTCGGGTCTACGTCGGTGAAGCCCTTCTTGGCCGAGGCTCGCCGCGTTCAGAAAAGCATCTGCGCCTCTCATTCGACATGCCCGATGGCAGCGTGCGGCTGAAGAGGTCGATGCCTCCCCCTCCGCCCCGGGCCAGTGCCCCCCTCTCGCTGCCCTTCGCTTCTCCCTGCGCCATTCCCCCACTCCTCTCCCTCTCCTCTCCCTCGTCTCTCCCCTCTCTCCTCCTGTTCCCCCCTCCTCCTCCCTCCTCCTCTCTCCTCCTCCTCCTCCTGCTGCTCCTCCTCCTCCTGCTCCTCCTCCTCCTCCTCCTCTTCCTCCTCCTCCTCCTCCCCTCCTCCTCCTCCTCCTCCTCCTCTCCTCCTCCTCCTCCTCCTCCTCCTCCTCCTCCTCCTCCTCCTCCTCCTCCTCCTCCTCCTCCTCCTCCTCCTCCTCCTCCTCCTCCTCCTCCCTCGACAATTAATTACCCCAGTTATGCTATGCTATGCTATGCTGCGCTATGCTATACTATGCTAAGCTATGCTATGTCATGCTACGCTGTGCTATGCTAAGCTATGCTATGCTACGACATGGTATGCTAAGCTGCGTTATGCTATGCTATGCTATGAGTTGCTATGTTTGGCTATGTTATGATATGATATGCTATGCGAATGCATGCTAATGCAGCGCTGCGCTAAGCTAAGCTAAGCTAAGCTAACCCTCTAGGCAGAGAAGTGCCATCGAGGCTAGCTCGGCATCTGTCGCACATTGCTTTTGGTTTGCCTTTCATGTGCTTTGCTTTTGCTTTTGCTTTGCTTTGATTTGCGTTGCTTGTGCTTTGCTTTGCTGTCGCTGCTGTTGCTTTGCCTTTGCTTTGCTGCTCTGCTCTGCTATGCTATGCTATGCTGCGCTGTGCTATGCTGTGCTGTGCTGCGCTATGCTATGCTATGCTGTGCTGCGCTATGCTATGCTATGCTGGGCTATGCTATGATATGCTGTGCTGCGCTATGCTACGCGATGCTGTGCTCTGCTATGCTAAAGCTCCGCGAAGCTAAGATGAAGGTAAGCTCAGCTAAGATAAATATGAGCTAAGTTGAAGCTAAGCTAAGCTAAGATGAAATAAGCTAAGCTAAGATGAGATAAGCAACGCTAAGCTAATGGAACGTAACTGGGGGAACCGCGGGGCGGATACCGGGGGAACCGCCGGGGCGATTTCCACCGCCCGGCCCCTTTAAGATAGAGAGTAAGAACCCTTCTAGGCAGAGCCAAGGTAGGGAACAATCTGAAAGCTACTCTCCTCTCTCCCTTGGTGGCGTCCGGGGATTGTTCGGCCCGCCTCCGCGTATAGTTTTTTTGTACAGGATTCCCCGGACACGGGTTGTCGCTTAGGTTTTGTATTCAAAATGCTGCTCTCGCTGTAGCGCTGGCCTCATTTTCGGGCTACCGCTCGTTCCGAATCGTGCTCCCGCTGCAGCGTTGGCCTCATTTTCGCGCTTTCGCTTGTTCCGAATCGTGCTCCCGCTGTAGCGTTGGCGGCATTGTTTCCAGCCAGCGCCATGCCACGGCATGGCTTTGGGTTCTTCCAAATCGGCCCCAAACTCTAGAACATGCCCCCCCGAAGAAACCATGAGAAGTGATTACACATTCGGTGTCGATTCGTTGATTTGTTTGGCCGCAGACCCCTCCCCAGTTTGGGGCGTCGCAACGCCATGCTATGTTAGGCTACGCGTCCTCATTTTCGCGCTCCCGCGTTTTTTGGGGGGGTTCAAAAGGCTGCTCTCGCTGAAGCGCTGGCCTCATTTTCGGGGCTACCGTTCGTTCCGAATCGTGCTCCCGCTGCAGCGTTGGCCTCATTTCCGCGCTCCCGCTCGTTCCGAACCGTGCTCCCGCCGCAGCGCTGGGGCCCACTGGCCTGGCGGACATCACCTGCAATTGGGCAGCCTCATCGCTTCCACGAAAGCGCGGCTGAGAATCTGCAACCAACGGGACACAGCCAACCGCATCAAAGCCTGGCATATTGGGGCGAGAGCCAACGACGGAGGTAAGGCTAGGGGGCCACATGCGAACCCTACCCCTACCCCCCCCGATTTCTGAGGGAGGGGTGGGGTTCACTTCGTTCGGGAGCTCCCGAGCAAAGTGAACCCCACCCTCCCCCTCAGAAATCGTTGGGGGTGGGGGTAGGGTTCGCATGTGGCCCCCTAAAGGCGAAAAGCTGGTGGATCAAAGCGGCTGACAACTCCAGTTCGGTCTCCATGCGCACACCGCACAGCGGCCCCCTCCACGCGCCATCAGTCATGTGGGCGGGCCCCTCAAGGCAAGAAAGCAAGAGAGCGAGCCACCTCCCACCGGTGGTTCAACGTACTCGCAGTCACAAACCAGCCCCCTTGGCGCGGCCACGGACAGCGAGAGCGAGACTGACTCCGAAGACCCCGCCTCGCCCAACTAGTAAAACCATCACAGCGGACACCTGGGAATCAATACAGGGGCTCTACTGGCAGACAGGAGCCCGCTCCGACGAGGCTGTTTTCACATGCGAGGCTTTCTCAAGGCAGAGGACCCCCAGGAACTCCCCGGCCCCGCCCTTGCTGCGCCTCTCGCCTTGCCTGGCGAGGCGCCCATCCATTTCATGTCATCCGCGCCCGGCCTGCCGCTCGAGCGGGCGGCCTAGACGGATGGGCCGCCAAGGAAGCCAAGACGCTGACAGACAGAGTCCTTCGCCCGGAGGACCTTGGCACGGACGGGGAGAGCGCCCGAGCCCTCTCCGCGCCCCGAACCCCTGCCTCTGGAGAGGCAACGGGGAACTGCCCACCGACCGGCGCTTGCTCTCGGTCGCGTCGATGTGGATGCGCGCGCGCGGGATGCGCCAGCTAACCGCGGCTCGATATCATGGATAGACCATTGGACTTGCCTGGCGAGCTTCGGCGCAGCGCCGCGCGCCACCATCGGAGACCGCCCGCTGCCTCCAGGCGCCCCTGGCTGGAGCTGCGCTCGACGGGCCAAAACGTTTCGACGACCTTGTCGCGGACGTCTGCCACGACACGGCGCCGCGCGCGCCGGGCGCCCGCCCGACGCCTTTTCAAGTACGGCGGTACTTCTGCGAAGCCGCCAGATGCACAACATCGCGCGAGGGGGGCATGCTCCAGAGCCCATGCTGCGCACTAGCGGCCACCTTGAAGGTAAGTCCTTCTTCCTCGATGGCATCAAGCGACTGACGTGCGCATAGGCCAAGCGACAGCAGCGGCACCTGCTGCGATCCTTGGGCGCCGCGCTCGTCGACGACAGCAGCGCGGCGGCGCCTGCCGCCAGAGCGCTGCGCATCTCCCTCGACGAGACTGTCTCGACCGCCCGTCAGGCCAGCATAACCGCCCCGGCAAAGTGGCAGGCCGGGCGGCGGGCGAGGGGCTCCGCGGGTGGCGTCTCTCCAGCTCGACGGACGCCCGCCGCGAGCCCGCCGCCGGGCCGCGGGCTCCGACGCCCCGGCGCCTGTCGCGCGGGCGCCAAACCCTTCCAACATGTCGGCCCTCGCTGCCGAGCGGCCCACGTGGCGACCCTGGCTTTCTCGGCGGGCCCTCGTCGCTCTCGTCGCTAGCTGGGCACTCCCTCTAGCTGGGCGCCATCGCCCAGAGGGGGGCCCCGCTCGGGCCGGGAAGACGAGCGCGGAGGGGCGCCGGCCCCGCCGCCCAAGCCGGAGAGCTGCGCGACCGCGCGCGAACCTTCCGAGGGGCGGCCTCGTTGGCAGGGCCTGGCAAACCATCGCCCACGTCGCATGGAGTTGCCCGTCTTTTGGCGCGACGCACGGCGACTGGAGCTTCCGCCCTGCAGGTCGGCCCGTCCACGCGCGTGTTCCGGGCTCTTCGCAGAGAGGCTCCTTCCGTTGGCGCGCGCCCACCGCCAGGCGCGACCCGGGCGCCGTCGCCGCCGCCGCGCAGGGCCTCGACTACTGTGCCAGCGCTCGGAGGCAAGGAGTCATGCGCGGCTCGGCAGCTCGGCGCGCCCTGCAAGTGCCTGCGCGGGGGCGATCGCGCGCAGCCAGGGGGAAGCCTGCGCAGGCATCTCGGCCGACCCGTCGCAGCCGCGTAGATGGCGCAACCGAGAAGAGTGCACCCAAGAACGCGCGGCCAGGGAACGCCCGCGCCTGGGGTCGGGAAGGACCGCCTTGAAAACCATGGCCACGGGCCGAGAGTGGAGCGACCTCCCGCCGCGCGCTCGGCTGCTGCGGGCCGCGGAAGGAAGACCCCCCCCGCCCGCTGGGCCCCCAGGCCGCCTTTGCACAGGACGAGCTCCTCCTCCTCCTCCTCCTCCTCCTCCTCCTCCTCCTCCTCCTCCTCCTCCTCCTCCTCGTCCCTCCTCCTCCTCGTCCCTCCTCTTTTAAGGAATTCCTCCTCCTCCTTCCTCCTCCTCCTCCTCCACCGACCTATCCCGCGGCCCCCTCCCGGGGGCCCCGACGACGACCAGTTCGAGGAGTGCGTTGGCGAAGCGGCGGCCGGGCGGGCGCGCGCCGCCGCAGACGGCGCCCGCGCGCGCAAGGGTCACCCGCTCCTCGCCTGGGCGGGCGCCAGTGTTCACGACCGGCCAGACCACCGCCTTGACTGCTCATCTCGAGCGAACTGTTGACGGTTTCGAGGGCCATCTAAAGGCGGGCCGCCGCAACTCACGGGGGCCCAGGCGAACCGCTGGCAAGGAGTACACCGCACGCTTCGAGCCAAACTGGACACGTTCGAGGCCAAACAAATCGAAAGCCACCTCGGCGAGCAAGGCATGGACGTAGGCGCATCACACTTATCGCTGAGGCTTTGACCCGTCATGCTGACGAATTCGGCACTGCTGTAGCGCGCCTGCAGCCACGTCCCATCGGTGCAGGTAGATTTGCGACACAAGTTCGCGGCGGTGTCTGACAGCGCCGCCGTCGCGACTGACGATCGGCGCCACCATGCTCCGTGCCTGCCAGACCGACGGGAGGGTTACTCTAAGGCCGAATTCAGCAGAATGAAGCCCACCCCGCTCGCACTAGGGCAAGGAAGAAACGATCCACCAGGCTCGCCAGACGACCCCGCGCAGCCGCATGGCCCACCAGGCTTGACTTTTTCGACGATCTCGACGATCCCTGGAGAGCCCCACCCAACGACTTCGAATGCAAAGAGAGGCTCGGAGCGTCCCTGAGCGACGACGATGGAAACAGTACTACCCCACCAGGAGGTCACACTAGTCACGAAGATGACGCGGATGACGAAAGCGCAGCGTGGCGTCAGCCTAGACTCGGGCTGGCTCATGCGGCGGACCTCCCGGGACCCGGCCTCTATAGCCAATCGACCCGACATCCAGAGGAGGAGTTGGCATATGTCGAGAGGCGACGCAGCGAGCCGTCCGAGGGCGATCCATCCCGCAGAACCTCGATGTTGCAAGGCGACGGCAAGAGCGCGAATGCGAAACGGCCTTCATCGCTAACATCACGGCGCTGTAGCAGCGAGCCAACCACGGTGCTCAAACCATCCATCCATCCAGGAGCAGTCCTACTCCGCTGCCAGACACATGCCACCGAGCGCGTGCCGCCTGGAATGGCCTTCCACGGGCCTGCAGCCCTACCGCCCGCCTCTTTACGGGCTTCGTTCCAGGGAAAACGGCAGGCGCACCTCGGACCTCTTCGCACAGCGCCCCAGTGCTGGCGTCGTTCTCTCCCGCGTGCGCTGCGAGAACAGCGGCGATTGCTCCGTGGCTGTCCGGCGGGGCCGCCGCGGGGGCCGCCCCAATGGCGGCGCCGCGGTTCACTTTTAAAGCACGGAGGCGAGCACTGCCAGAGCGCGCGCCAGCAGCCGGCACCTGGCTTGCGGGCGTGCCTACGGGCCTTCGGGTGGCCTGTTCACCAGTTTCCCGCTCCTCCTCCTCCTCCTCCTCCTCCTCCTCCACCTCCGCCCTCCTCCTCCTCCTCCTCCTCCTCCTCCTCCTCTCCTCCTCCTCCCCCTCCTCCTCCTCTCCCTCCTCCTCCTCCTCCTCCTCCTCCTCCTCCTCCTCCTCCTCCTCCTCCTCCTCCTCCTTTCCCGCTGTGCTTTCCTGTCGGGGTCTTTCTGGCTGCGCCGGCGATGAGGGTAGCACCCAACCTTTTGCTCTTTCGGCGCTGCCTCCCGCCCTGCGAGGCAGGCCCGCGCCACCCTTCCCCGCTGCGGGGCCCAGAGCAGGCCTGGTCCGAACTGGTGCGCATCTCCCCCCTCCTCTCCCCCTTCTCAAAGGCCTGGAGGTTGACACCAATACCAAGATAGGTGGTGTGCCTCCACCGAGGGAAGACGATCCCGATCCCGGTGATGGTGGTAATATTCTGGCTTCCAAGGTGACCGAAATATTACCACCAACACCGAAATCTAGGATCATCTTCCCCATGTGGAGGCAACCCGCCGGTGTTGGTGTTGGTGCCCATTTCCAGGCCTCCAACCTTCTCCCCTCCTTCCCCCTCCCCCCCTCCCCGACCGACGCTGCTTCACGCGCGCTCTCCTGTGCGTCCTCCCCTCCCAAAGCTCTCCACGCCGACTTCGCGTGCACTTGCTGCGGGGTCCGGCCCACTCGCGCTGGCCTCCTAAGCCCCGCCCTCCGCGGCTGCCGGCACGCTCGCTCGCTCGCGCCCCTCCCTGCAGCATCCCCCCGTCTCTCCCCTCCTCCCCCGCTGCCCCCCCTCCCCCCGAGGAAGACGGGCCGTGGGAGCGGCCCCTGATCCAGAAGCCCCGCCCCGGGCCCCTGGCGGTGTTCCGCGCGGAGATGGTGCCGCGCCGCCGTTTCTGACCCCCTCGGGCATCGGGGGCCGCGTCAGGGGAGGGCGGGCTCGAGGGGGGATAGGTTCCGACAGCGACGACGACGACGACGACGACGACGACGACGACGACGACGACGACGACGACGACGACGACGACGACGGGCGACGAATCGAGGTTTTGGGCAGTCCTGGGGCGCCCTCGTGGCCACGGGCGGGTCCGCCCTGAAGTTCTCGTGAGAACGCGCCCCAGGAGAGGTCCAGGGGTCCAGGGATGGATTGTGACCCTGGCGGGTTCGAAGTTCGAGGTTTTCGGGCGCTTTCATCGGTCCTCGGTGGTTTTCTCCGGCCCCGCCGTGCCTTCCAGCAGCTGCGCCTCCCCGAAGGCGTCCTGGGGAGGCCCCGGTCTTCGGGAACGGCCGATGAGGAGGAAGAGGAGGAGGAGGAGGAGGAGGAGGAGGCGGCGGAGGCGGAGGCGGAGGCGGAGGCTGAGGCGGAGAGGAGGAGGACGAGACGAAGGTGGAGGAGGAGGAGGAGGAGGGGAGGAGGAGGAGAAGAAAGAGAAGAAGAAGGAGGAGGAGGAGGAAGAAAAGGTGGGGGAAGGAAAGGAGGACGAGGAAAGGAAGAGGAGGAGGATGAGGAGGAGGAAGAGCAGGAGGAGGAGCAGGAGGAGGAGCAGGAGGAGGAGTAGGAGGAGGAGGAGCAGGAGGAGGAGCAGGAGGAGGAGGAGGAGGAGGAGGAGGAGGAGGAGGAAGGAGGAGGAGGAGGAGTTGGAGGAGGAGGAGGAGGAGCAGGAGGAGAAGGAAGAGGTGAAGGAGCAGGAGGAGAAATAATAATACTAATAAAAGTAATCATCAAACTAGTAATATGAATAATAATCGGAATCACATCACGATCAATAATAATAGTAATAATGGTAATCAGAATAAACATCTTGATCGTACGAATATTGATAATAAGATATTCGTAATTATATTAATACTCTCACTGATGATATTGAAAATACTATTAAGAGTAAATAATAACGGTCATACTACGAGTACGAAACATAATGAGAACACATACGAATCATACTACGATACGCAAGAAGACTATCATTACGACTACCAATAAAAATCCAGAGTAATAATAATACGACTAAGACGAATAATAATACTACTAATAATACTAGTCACAGTAATAATACTACTACTAGTAATAATGATGGTGATGAGAGGGAGAATCAAGAATGATTATTTAACCAGTATTAATAATGAGAAGAATACGACTGCTAACGATCAGAAGAAGAAACATAGCCATACTAATGCTAGTACTAATACGAATACGAACAGTACTACTACAACTAAGACGAATATTGGTAGTGTTACGAATAAGATTAAGAATAATCATGATACTAGCCTAATTTACGATCAATAAGAATAACACTATTATTATAATAGTGATAATATTACTAATAATACTACTGATAACAAAAGTACGACGAACACACTAAGGATAATAATACGATAACTAATACTAATATGAAGAGGAGGACGAGGAGGAAGAGGAGCAGGAAGACGATGAGGCGGAAGAGGAGGAGGAGGGGGAGGTGGGGGAGCAGGGGAGGAGGAGGAGGAGGAGGGAGGTGGGGAGGGGAGGAGAGGGAGGAGAGGAGGAGGAGGAGGAGAGCAGAGGAGGAGGAGGAGCAGGAGGAGCAGGAGGAGCAAGAGGTAGCAGGAGCCAGCGGGAGGGAGGGGGTAGGGAGAGGGGGAAGGGGATGCGGAGGAGGAGGCGGAGCGGGAGGGGGAGGGTGGGGTAGGGGGAGGAGGAGGGGAGGGGGACGGGGTGCGGAGGGGGGAGGAGGGTAAGAGCAGAAGGAGGAGGAGGAGAGAGGAGGAGGAGGCGGAGGAGGACGGGGAACGGGGGGAGGAAAGGGAGGGGAGGGGGGAGGGGGGAGGGAGGGGCTCCACAGGCCCCCGAGTAATCGGGGGCGGTCTCAACGCTTCACCCCCAACCCTGGGCCCCAGGGGCGCCGCCAGAGGCGGCGCCAGGGTATCGAGAACGCTCTGGACTGCTCGGAGGGCCTGTGGAGGCCAGCTGGGGCAACTCGGGGGGCCTTGTAAGGCTAGCCAGGACTACTCGGGGGAGGCTGCGAGTCTTACAGTAGTTCTTGGTCCGTTGAGTGTTGGTGGGCCCCAGCCTCTCCCCCCCGGCCCGCCAGGTGAACTCCCTGAGGGACGCGTGCCCGTGGCTGCTGCTGGGCCTGCTGTTCACGGGTGCCCTGCAGGCCCCTCCTCGATCGATTCTCTTTCATCATCCCTCCTCCTCCTCGTCGTCGTCCTCCTTGTCGTCGTCCTCCTCCTCCTTCGCCTCCTCCTCCTCGTCCTCCTGCTCCTGCTGCTCCTCCTCCTCCTCCTCCTCCTCCTCCTCCTCCTCCTCCTCGTCCTCGTCCTCGTCGTCCTCCTCCTCCTCTCCTCGTCATCCTCCCTCTCCTCCTCCTTCTCCTCCTCCTGTTCCTCCTTCCCCTTCAACTCCTCAACATTTTCCCTTCCTCCTCCTCCACTTCCATCTCGCCTCGAGACCATGTTTTCCTCCACCAAGGGGTAACACGTATTACCCCCCCTGCCCCCCTCCGTAACTGTAACGCCCCGGCCTGGTCCAGTGCGCGATCCCCGGCAGCTTAGGGCACGTGGTCCACGAGGGCATTACTAGTGCCGCGGTGAACGCGGGCGTGCATTACGGTGTACGCAGGCACTGCGGTGTACACGGGCGTTGTGGCGCACACATCTGTCGTTGCAGCAGCAGCTGTGGTGTGCAGTGGCATGGTGGGTGTACGGAAGCATTGTGGTGGACGCATCACAAGCCCTGTGGTGTACACAGGTGCCGTGATGTACACAATCGCTGTAGTGCGCAAATTCGCTATGATGTAAGCGTGCGCTGTTGGCTAACATGTACCCACGCATCTCTTCCTACTTCCTCCTCCTCGCTCTTCATGTTCGTCCTCCTCCTCCTCGTCCTCCTTGCGCATACAGGACGTGGGCATTGTGGTGTTCACAAGCATTGTGGTGCACACAAGCCTTGTGGTGCACGCAGGCGGCATTTTCACATTCGCTGCGGGCTCAAAAAATGTTCGCCAGAAAAAATCATAAGCACAATCAGATCACATATGGAATATGATATATTCGGGTCCCCAGCGAATTCCTTGACTTTGGCTCTGTCGGGGCCGTAGAGGTGTACACGAGGAGGAGGACGAGGAGGAGGAGGAGGAGGAAGAGAAGGAATACGAATATAGGTGTGCGCAGGCTGTGCGTGGTGCATCACGCAGATCCGTTGGCGGTTTCGCGCGCGGATTCAATTCTCGCAACGAACTTCTTTTAGATGACGGTGTGCATTTCGGAAGTGCTCTTGGAAAAAGACAGCGGGCCCCGAGCTGTGGACCCCATCGTGGGGTTCCTTTTACTCCTCCTGCTCCTCCTGCTGGTGCTGCTGTTCCTCCTGCTTCTCCTGCGTGCACTCCCTCGGCTGACGCCGCTCCGCGCGCCCCCAAGCCGCGTGGTGTTCACGGGCGTCGTTGCGCGACAAGTTGCCATGACTTGCGCAGTCGCTACGGCATGCGCAGGCGTTGCGGGCTCAACATATCTGAGCGTTCCTCGGGCCAGAAAATACATTTTCACAATCAAGTCAGACATTAACTTTGATACGTTCGGGCTCCCGACGATTTTCTGGAGCTTGGCTCGGTTAGGACCTTCAGGCGTACGCGAGCTCTGTGGTGCACACAGGCACTGTGGTGCACAGGGGGTGCTGAAACAGCAGCTGCGGTGCACGCAGGCGCCGTGGTGCGCACAAGCCGCGTGATGTGCAAAATGCTGCGCACGGGTGACATGGTGTATACAGTCGCCGCGGTGCACGCGCGCATCCCATTTCTGTAGCAGTCCTGGTGCACAAAAGGGACTGTGGTGTACAGGGCCCGCGGTGCGTGCGCAGGCACTGTGGGCTTGGGCGGCGACGACGACGACGACGACGACGACGACGACGACGACGACGACGACGACGTAGGCGGCGCGCCTCTGGGAGCGCGCGCCATGGACCCCTTGCCGTTACCCCCCCCCGCCCCCCCCCCGCGGGTAACGTGGTCATCCCACAGGAACAGAAGGATGGTCTCCCCCGTATCGCCGTTCTCTTGCCTTCCTTCCTCGCTGCTCTGTTGATGTGCCTTGTAGGCCCCCCTTTCTGCTTCTCCTCCTTCTCCTCCTTTTCCTGCCCTCCTTCTTCATCAGTATCGTTGTTGTCGTCGTCATCACCATCACCCCCGCTACCAGAATCATCAACAACATTATCCCGGTGCGACCCTATCTAGGAGTTGGAGCCCCTAGGAAAGCAGAATTTGCAGTAACGGTAAAGCTAAACTGAAGCTAAGCTAAAGCTAGGCTACGGCTAAGCTAAAGCTAAGCTAAAGCTAAGTTAAAACTAAGCTACAGCTAAGCTGAAGCTAAGTTAAAGCTAAGCTAAAGCTAAGCTGAAGTTAAGCTGAAGCTAAGCTGAAGCTAGGCTAAAGCTAAGCTAAAGCTAAGGTAAAGCTAAGCTAAAGTTACGCTAGCACTAAGCTACAGCTAGGCTAAATTTAAGCTAAAGCTAAGCTGCAGCTAAGCTAAAGCTAAAACTAAGCTAAAGCTGAAGCTAAAGCTAATACTGAGCTAAAGCTGAGCTAAAGCTAAGCTAGAGCTAAACGAAAGCCAAGCTAAAGCTAACGCTAAAGCTAAAGCTAAAGCTACAGCTACAGCTCCCAGCTAAGCTAAGCCAAGCTAGGCTAGTCTAAGCTAAGCTAAGCTAAGAAGCTAAGCTAAGCTAAGATGAAATGAGATAAGCTAGGCTAGGCTAGGCTAAGCTAAGCTAAGCGAATCTGATATAAGCTAAACTAAGCTATGATAAGCTAAGCTAGGCTAGGCTATGCTATACTGTGCTATGCTATGCTATGCTATGCTATGCTGCGCTGTGCTATGCTAAGCAATGCTTTGCTATGCTATGCTATGCTGCGCTATGTTATGCTGAGCTATGCTGAGCTATGCTATGCTATGCTATGCTATGCTGTGCTAATGCTGCGCCGCACTATGCTGCGCTAAGCTAACCTAAGGTAAGCTAAGCTAAGCGATGCTAAGCTAAGCTAAGTCAAGCTAAACTAAGCTATGCTAAGCTAAGCTAAGCTCAGATGAGATAAGCTGAGATAAGCTAAGCTAAGCTAGGCTAGGCACAGCTAAGCTAAGCTAAGCTAAGATGAGATAAGCTAAGCTAAGCTAAGCTAAACTAAGATGAGATAAGCAAAGCTAAGCTAAGTGGACGTAACTGGGGGAACCGCGGGGCGGATGCCGGGGGAACCGCCCGGGGCGGGTTGCACTGCCCGGCCCCTTTAAGAAAGAGGGTAAGAAACCTTTAGGCAGAGCCTAGGTAGGGAATTACCATCACGCCATGCTCATCCCCACCATCATGATCAACCGCATTAACATCATCACCATCGTCGCCGTCGGTATCGTCGTTTCCGTCCCCGCCATCGTCGGTGTCATCATCATCATGATCATCATCAGGATCATCATCATCCTCATCATCATCATCACCATCACCATCATTAACAGCATCGACATCATCACCATCGTCATCGTCATCATCATACACGTAATCATGACCACCACCAGCGTAATCGTCATCCGCCTCATCACCATCATCATCACCATAATCATCCGCGCGCTCATCACTATAACCATCGTCATCAATAGCTGTCTCTGCATCGTCATCATCATCACCACCATCAGCATCAGCATCATCATTATCATCGTCATCGTCATCGTCATCGTCATTGCCGTCATCATCATCGTCACCATCACCATCATTACCGTCGTAATCAGCAGCAGCACCGTCGTCGTCGTCGTCGTCAGCACCGTCACCACTATTACTATCGCCATCGCCATCACCATCCACCATTACCATTCCTTATCACCATCACAATCACCTTCGTCATCCTCCCTCCTCTCACCTCCCTCCTCTCCTCCGCCTCCCCCCCCTTCTCCCTCCCTCCCCCCTCCCTCCTCCCCCCTCCCCCCTTCCCCCCATCCCTCCCCGCTCCTTCCCTCCTCGTCCGCAGACGTATTGACTCGAGCGCTGCCCGCTCCAGGGGCGGCCCGCCGGTTTAAGAGGCGATGCTCGACTACTCCAAATTCGACAAGATCGGGGAGCCTGGGGGTGGCCTCACCCCCCCTCCCCTCCTCCCCTCCCCTCCTCCCCCTCCTCCTCCTCCTCCTCCTCCTCCTCCTCGTCCTTCTCCTCCTCTCCTCCTCCTCCTCCTCCTCCTCCTCGTCTTCCTCCTCTTCCTCCTCCTCCTCCTCCTCCTCCTCCTCCTCCTCCTCCTCCTCCTCCTCCTCCTCCTCCCTCCGTCCTCCTCCTCCTCCTCCTCCTCCTCCTCCTCCTCCTCCTCCTCCTCCTCCTCCTCCTCCTCCTCCTCCTCCTCCCCCCCTCTCGTGCGGCCCCCGCTCGGCTTCGACATCCCCCTAGAGCCAGCCTGCAGGAGGTTTTTGGGCGGTTTGGGGGAGATTTTTGGGCGGGAGGTTTTTGGGCTCGAGGGGGATCGATGATTTTTAGTAGGTTTGTGGGAGTTTTTTGGGCTCGAGGGGGATCGACAGTGGGAGCTCTTGGGGCGGTCTGGGCTCTCCTGGGGGGCCTCTCTGGGGAGAGCTCTCTGGAGAGCGGCTCGAGGACTTGGGAGGTCTCAGGGGTGGGCACCCACACCAAGATCGGCGGTTGCCTCCGGCGAGGGAAATGGATCCCGATGTGGGTGAATTGTAGTCATATTCGGGCTTCCTGAGCTCGAAGAAGAAAAACGCCATAAGCATAAACTTTTGGCGCTCCTCGCGGATTCTTTGATCCGCGCTGGGCCCCCTTGGCGGCGCCTCTGGCGCCGCCCCTGGCGCGCTCCGCGCGCTAGGGAGGGGGGTTCAGCGCAGATCCCAGAGATCCGCGCGGAGCTCCGAAAGTTGATGTTTTGTTGTTTTTTGTTCCTCTGTGAGTGGCCGAGAGATTACCACCAACACTAAGATCTAGGATCAGCTCCCCCCGGAGAAGGCACCCCCCTGTGTTGGCGTTGGTGCCCATGTCCGAGCCCCCAGCTCTCAGCAAACCCACACCCCCCCTAGACCCCTGACGTCTTTTTCAAGAGTCTAGACCCATCTCCAGGGGCCAGCTTTGCAGCCTGAGTCGGTTTTCGACGGTCCCGCGGCCCAGTAAACGCCCCACAATGGCCGAAAATAGCGAA